AAAGCTATAGCTTTATCAGTGACACTGCCCCCGCCACCCCCCATATATAATTACCTTTTACAGCTCAGACCGTTTTAAGCTCTCTAATGGGCTTGGTGGAAATACCCACAACAGATTTTGTCACAGAGCCTCATTTTAAACTTATTTCAACAGGTATTTGGTACCAATCTTGTGGATCTAATTCTGCTTTTGTATTCACAGCAGGTATTTCTTTACATACTAGATCCCAGCTCCTTTTTTTTCACAGTCTAGGGTTCAGTTACAACTTATAAATCATTTAATTTCTAATTAACTTATATCACAGAGGTCCAGAGACATAAAAGGACTTGCCCAAAGTTAAAGTTGGAATCAGAAGCCAAATACTCTTTTAACCAAGATGAGCCTGAAATTTTTATTCTGATGAGGAAACACTAATATATTGTAGTTCCTTATTCTTGTTTCTTAGTTTTCCTCAGTATTAATTTAAATTGTGGATACTTCTGTGTTTGCTTCCTATTCCCAGAATGGCAGGCATTGTTGTCATTTTTCCAAGGTGAAAAATGACGAGTTTAAAGTGATTATTGAGAGAACTCTTTTGAGTCTTTGTTTCTCTTGAAATTTGGATCCTGGATGCAATTGGAGGACAAGAGAACCCTGTTCTTTCACTGTGACGCACTGATGGCTACAAACTGTACTGTAGCCGATGAAGTTTCAAATGTTGGTTTTCCTCCACACAGACTTTTCCAGAGGTTGTCCTTTGCAGTATAAGATGCCTTCTGTCCAGGGACTTCCCTGGTAGCGCAGTGGTTAAGAATCTGCCTGCCAGTGCAGGGGACACGGGTTCAAGCCCTGGTCCAGGAAGATCCCACATGCCGCAGAGCAACTAAGTCTGTGTGCCACAACTACTGAGCCTGCGCTCTAGAGCCCGTGAGCCACAACTACTGAGCCTGCGTGCCTAGAGCCTGTGCTCCGCAACAAGTGAAGCCACCACAGTGAGAAGCCCACGCACCGTAACGAAGAGTAGCCCCTGCTCGTTGTATCTAGAGAAAGCCCGTGCATAGCAATGAAGATCCAACACAGCCCATAAATAAATAAATAAATTTATAAGATGCCTTCTGTTCAACTTCCTCACATTATGAGACTTTAGAATCTTTGAGATTCTGAAGAATTATAGGTATTCTGTATTTAGTCTTAAGAGCTTGAATAACATAAAAAGAATTACTTAAATAAAATTCTTAACTTGTTTTCCTAGTTAACAGTAAGGAGTTCCTTGCAAAAGAAGAAAGTCAAATACCAGAGGATGAAGTGTTTTTCTACAGGTAATATATTTAATACTGTTTCATTTGGAGAACTGTTAAATTTAAAATTTTTAGATTCCATAAATGCTTTGTTAACATAGGCCTGTCTTGAAAAGGGTGAACGATATGTCAATCCATTTTTGTGAGGGGAGTTTATAAATGTCATTTTGCTAATGTTGAGATGTATAAATGAAACTAAAACAAGTAAATTTGAGGGTTTTGTTTTTAATAATTTAGCATAAATTTTAAGAACCTTGACTTTGAAAAAAGTTTTTTTACTCTAGTAATTTTCTTACAGGCTTAAATCTGTAACTCATGAGTTATTTGTCCAAAACATGGCTCTGCGTAGAATTAGCAAAACACTGCACTACTGTGGAGATAAGTCCTAAACCTACTAGTATTAAAACTAATGCCTTGTAATAGTAAAGGAACTATTATCTCATCTGGTTGATTGGGTAATTGGGTTCGATTTGGTTTGCTCCTTTTTTTTTTTTGGCAGCACTGGATCTTCGTTGCTGTGTGCGGGCTTTCTCTAGCTGCAGCGAGGGCTACTCTTCGTTGCGGTGCGCTGGCTTCTCATTGCAGAGCACAGGCTCTAGGTGCACGGGCTCAGTAGTTGTGGCGCGCAGACTCAGTAGTTGTGGCGCACAGGCTTAGTTCCTCTGCAACATGTGGGATCTTCCTGGACCAGGGCTTGAATCCGTGTCCCCTGCATTGGAAGGCGGATTCCCAACCACTGCGCCACCAGGGAAGTCCCTGGTTTGCTTTTTTAAAAAATTTTTTGTGTAAACAATGTTGAGGCTATGATCCCATCTGCAAAATGCTAAGTTTCACTGTACCCTGATAGAAGAAAAAGTCTAACTGATAAAATATTGTGATTACAGGTCATTTAGAGCCCCAGTTTCTAATATTCGAATACTTGTATCATTGCAATCGTGCTGATGCTAAAACAACCTTTTACGGTGCCATTTAATTAAGATGAGTTAAGGTGTTTTTATGAAGAACCAAGCCTAAATCATTGAAATTTACTATACTTCACGTTTCAAAAGTTTTCAACTGTTTTGAATTCTAAACTAGTTTTTCTATAATAAGTACAGATTTTAGTCATTTATATCCAGCTGAGTTAACAGTTTTTACACTTGTTTGTGACACTGGCCATAGGTGCTTTGATTATAGTAAAATGGGCCCTATGATAAAATTATCAAATATATAACATGCATTTTATTTTAGGTATTATAAAAAAGTTGCTAGTGTTAAACTGAAACAAAAACGGAATGAAGATGAAGAAAGTATAGAAGATGTGGATGATGAGGAATTTGAAAAGATGATTGGTAATTTGTTTACCTTTATAATCCACAGAGTTAGAAAAATTTTATTGGCATTTAGACCGAAAATAAAATGGGAAATTAGATAAGCTTACATTGAGCTCACATGTTGCATATCATATTACACCTACTAAAAATAAGCACATAAATAGTTCTAATGGAGTAAAAAGGTCTGCAGTTGCTAAATATTGTTTTATTTGATATTTTCCCTCTTTCCATAAAAGAACTAGAAAGAAGCTAAAATTAACTGGAACGCATTTAGTTTAGGGATTTAATTAAGGTCAGCATATTCATGGGTTTGTTTAGATTAATAAAACACCAGCAGTGTCAAATGTATATCATTTTGGTGTTTACTTATCATGAACAGCCAAATCATGATGTGTTGATTGATTCAAATATAAGACATGTCAGCTTTGTTGCTACATCTTACAATTTGTATATTGTTCTCTGGCAGACATGTTTGAAGATGATAATTGTTTCACCTCTGGAAAGGATGACCTTGACTTTGCTAGGTAAAATACTTTTCTTCAGTTCTTTTTTTTAACTTTTCCCAGCATTTCTCAAATTATTGTCCCTCGGAACAGTGGAGGACAGGAATATGTGTTGTATAGGAGAAAGGTATTAGGTATTGAAGGAAGTTTGGGAAGTGGACACAGTACTTTCATTTTGGACCTTTATAATGCCCGTTAGTATATTAAATAAAGGCTCTGAGCTGTCTGTCACTCTCCTTTGAATTCTGTTAACAGCCTAATGCCCTGCTGGTCACCAAAACATACTTGAGAAAACAAAGTCCTCTTTTACATTTCAAGTTGTTGTTTTTCTTCAGCAACATGAAGAAGAAAGCAAAAGGAGCTAAGGATGACTTAGAAGATGAAGATTCAGAAGATGAGGACCTTGGTAATTTGGATGATGATGAAGTTTCCTTAGGAAGTATGAATAAAGAATTTAGTGAAATTGAGGAAGATGGAGGAACATTCATGGATGTGTTAGATGATGAAAATGAGGGCATTCCAGGTAAACTTTTAAAATATAAGACAAAAACAAACTGGAGCTTTCTTCCTCAGCATAGGCTAGTTTTTCTGTTGAAGGTTTTTTAATATTACCCTGTATTCAGATTAATATTCAGATCAGACAGAAATTTAAAGAGGACCTTTTTTCTCCTCTCATTTGAAACTGAAGGGTTTTTTTGTTGTTTTATCAGCAGTTGAGTTTCTGTTTTGGGCTTTTATTTTATCAGCAGTTGAGTTTCTGTTTTGGGCTTTTATTTTAATCAGCAATGAGGCTATCTGTTCTATACCTGTCGAGCTGTTATATTGCCTTTTTAAAATGTTGGTAATGGTAATTTGTAGTTCTTAAAAGTTAATATTCATCATCATAGCCCTGTAGCAGTTCTACTGTTTTCTTAAATTGCTTAATAACAGCGGTGTTTTTTTTGGTAACAGAACTTGATGATGATGTCAGCTTCAAAGTCAATAGTAAGAAAAGCAAGAGAAAAGGTGCAAATGATTTTGACTTTGCTGGGTCATTTCAAGGTAAGAAAATGTATTGAGTCTCTTTTAAACCTAAGCAATGAGTATGGGAAAGCTATTGTTCATTATCATTTTGGGAAATTAACTTTTCTAATGGATAAGAAGTCTTAAACATATTTTTAGTATATGAAAAATGTTGTTTCTCACATCCACCTTCAATTATTTTTTCTTCCCAAATTCACTCCTCTCATTTAAATAGCTCTAGATCATCATTTCATTCATGTTTAAACCATTCAATAATACGTAAGCCATGGATTTTCCATAGACACCTGTTGCCTTTTTCCTTTTCTCTGTCAACTCTTATCCTTCCCATTTGACCCATCTAAAAACCCATGCTCTTTATTAACTTCATTTTCCTTTTTTAATGAGATCTGCCATGACAAAATGATTATAACCTCAAAAATATATAAAACAGATAGGAATTTTTAAAGTATATGGTAACAGATTATGTCTTTTAGTGTAATTTCTACGGTGCTAATAAAAGGAAAAAAGTACTATATCAGGTGACAATATTAAGTTTTTGATAAAAATGTAGAAAGCACAATAAATGTTTTATGACGAATTTTATTCCAAAGTGGCTCTAGTAGAGACATTGATGTAGAGTTTTAAGTATTGTTTCAGGTAAAGTGAAAATGGATAAAAGCAATATTTTTAGTTAATATAGTTTTAGATAGTGTGAGTTAAAATGTAATAAACATTAATGAACTTACTTAGAAAACAGAAACAGACTCACAGGCATAGAAGAAAAACTTGTGGTACCAAAGGGCAAAGGAGGAGAGGATAAATTGGATAAACAAGGTCCTACTGTATAGCACAGGGTACTATATTCAATGTCTTGTAATAAACTATAATGGAAAAGAAAAAATTAATAAATATTAAAAATAGATATTTTACTATCTTATCTATTTTGAAAGGTTTATATGTTTAGAATTATAGGGGAGTTTTTTTTAAAGAACAGGTTTATTTTGAGTAGTAAACAAAACTCCATTTATCACATAATAAACAAACCTTCCATCAATTTCTTAGAACGAAACCTCTGACTTAGAGTTTACACTTAAATAGTCTAAAATCCATCCATGTCAACTTTAGAATTGTAATCTTGCCTGATACTATGAAATAGGACGAACTTTGATCGATGGTCAAATCTGAAAGACAGGAAGACACTGCTGTCACCTGAACAGTCCTATTTAGGATATTAACTTAAAAAAAAAAAAAAACCTTATACTAACTTCTAAGTTATTTTTCTGTCTTTAAACGCCAGCTACCTAATGATACTAGAAGATAATTGTGTGTTTTAACCCAAATATATATATATTTTTAACAAAACTATGTTGAAGATTATATTTATCCAAAATCATTGGATTTACAATTTAATAATCTAGACTTATACTCTTTTTTAAGGACCAAGAAAAAAAAAAAGAAATTTCAATGACTCCAACCTATTTGTATCTGCTGAAGAGGTAAGGCTAATGTTCTGCTTTAAGCACTTAGCTATTCTATTGATACATTGTTTTTTAAGTTTTCTAATACATGCATGCCCCCCTTTTTTCTTTTAAAGTTTGGCCACCTGTTGGATGAAAATATGGGATCCAAGTTTGATAACATTGGCATGAATGCCATGGCTAACAAAGATAATGCAAGTAAGTAACTTGAATTTTTATTTAGGTTTTAACTTCGAATTAGGTTAACTAACTTTGGCTTTAACTTAGAATTTCTGAAAATCTGAATTATTTCTGGAGGACCTTTTTTTGTTGTTTTTTTTTGTTTTTGCGGTACGCAGGCCTCTCACTGTTGTGGCCTCTCCCGTTGCGGAGCACAGGCTCCGGACGCGCAGGTTCAGCGGCCATAGCTCATGGGCCCAGCCGCTCTGCGGCATGTGGGATCTTCCCGGACCGGGGCACGAACCCATGTCCCCTGCATCAGCAGGCGGACTCTCAACCACTGCACCACCAGGGAAGCCCTGGAGGACCTTTTTATAGTAAGAAGGGATAAATGGTTCCTCACAACCTGAAAAGAATGGCTTTTTCACCTCTGTCTGCAGAGCACATGGGATTAAAAAGTATTTATACTACAGAAAAAGACTACAGCCTACAAAAGTTACTTTTTTTTTTTATGGAAGCAGGCTATTTTTATATAATATGAATTTGCTAAGTAACTTTATAAATATAGGCATTTTAATTATTTCTGATATTGATAGTTACTGGCTGCTCTTCTTTCACCAGTAAGTGTTCGGGGAAATAAAATCTGTGAAGCATTTGTTCCTTTGCTGTAAATAGTAAATCTTTGACGGTAAATATGGAAGGAAAGCAACAACCAAGGAGGGCTTTGCGTAGTGGATGGGAAATGACTGTAGGTCATGGCAGACTGGAAGTTCCTATTAGGATGTTTGGTGGGGCCTCCAAGAGTCTACAACGTGCTTATCTTTTTTCTCCCTCCTCAAAGGTCTCAAACAGCTTAGGTGGGAGGCTGAACGCGATGACTGGTTACACAACAGAGATGTGAAAAGCATCATCAAGAGGAAGAAAAATTTTAGAAAGAAGAGGCCAAAAACCACTCGAAAAATTAAAAAGCAAAGAAAATGAGTGTTTTCTAAGTAAATTACAAGTTAAAATTCTACTTACTCCTAGTTTTTGCTGTTCAGCCATTTTTCTTGATCTTGCTCTCTGATGCCATACATTCCAGAGTGTTCAGTGGATTTGTAATAAACTATAAATAGAAATAGCTGTCATTTATGAAATCATGTAAAAGTGTTAAAATTAAACTATATTGAGAAAAAAATCAAGCTTTTTTCCCCTTATTTCTACATGGTAAAATGAAAAGGATGACAGTAGGATACATGTGTTGTATATAAGCTCTAGCATCTCTGCTAATCATTGTAATGAACACTATTCACTAAGCATTACTTTATACCAGATACTGTGTGAAGTAATTACATAATGTTATCTTGTTTAATCCTTACAACAATTCATGAGATGGGCATCATTATCTCTACTTGACGGAGAAAGAAAAAGCTCGTTCGCAAACCAGAGATTGGTTTTAAGTTTTAAGCTGTGGATTTGATTCCATCACACTCAGATATGTCTCATTCCAAAGTCTACATTCTTAACCCACTGGAAGAATTAAGAATCCAGCCTGTTAGCTGGATTCACCCATTGGCTAACTGGGATGAGAATTTTCTCCACTGTGTTCTCAGAAGGAGTGAAAATAGAAATGAACAGTATTTTTGGAAACTGGCATCACAAAATTAAGAAGCCATTTAGCCCTTAATTGGTCATAAAGAAACAATTTATAAAGGTTACCTGAAGAAGTTGTTTTGTACTCTTAATTTCACTTAAGGAAAAACATACCTTCCAAGATGAAAGGGAATTTCTTGCTCATTGTTTGCCTGAAATCTAAAGAAAAGTCTTAAAATTAGGTATGATTAGAAATTCATTGTTTTAACACATGGAGCCATAATTTAGTGCTAGCTTTAGGGTCTATAAGATAGGAATCCTATAAATTAGAAATTTGTGTTAAAGTCCTTCTTTGGTAATCCAGGAACTGTATCTTTTTAAATAGGGTGTAAATTGCACTTAAACCTTATATGTAGCCTTCCCTAGTTATTTTGGAGTTTTTAAAACTTGGCCTATATATATGATGTAATTTATTTTGAAATGGTCTTTAAAAGCAAATTTTCAGTGTTAATGTGAAATTCCCTTGTGTAATTTTATAAATTGTTTTTATGGATGCCATTTTACCTTTTTAGAGAATCAGACATAAGACTTCACTACACCCAATTTTTGAAGTGATCTTAAACTTTACTTTGCTTTTAAATACCGTTTGGATGTTTTCTTTTATACCCTTCCATCCGTTAAGAAGGCAAATGACAAGTTTCAAAGATGGCCACCACCCCAGGACTACTATTCCCTGCTTTAGGGAAAGAGAAAGTAGCACTTTCTGATTTTAAAAGTTGAAGGCGCTAATATAAAATTTCCCCCACAAAATGACAAAGCACTTTTGGTGATGGCCAGTGGCATGGGAAAGGCTTTTAGTGGCTAGTATTGATGCAGAGGAAGCACTCTGCTAGCTTGAGAAACTGGTTACTTGACAATTCAGCTATGCTACCTCTTGCTTTTTCAGTCTTACCAAACAATGAGGTGTAATGGGCAGGCTGGATTTTTTCCATCTGTGCTAAGCCAGACCAAGGACACTGCTCTATGCCCCCCATTAGTAAAATCCATGGAAGTAAGAAACATTTTCCCTAGTCTACAAACATTAATTTTTTTTTTTTTAGGGAGAAGAGTAATTTATTCTATAATAATTAACACCTAGCTTCTTCCCCTTGTGCCTATAAAGTGGCTAATATCAATATACTGAATCTGAAAAGGCAATTTCTCTAAAGAAGCCATTTAACCTAAAATGCATAAGCAAACTGTACACCCCCCTACAAAACACTAATTTCTGAATTATGATTACCTTGGCTTGTGTTCATCTTTTTAAACAAAAAATATGCTCCAAAAATGCCCACAAGTTCAGCTACTAAAACTCCTTTAAAGATCTTCTTTGCCAGTGGATCCATAGTACGGGCCATCCTAAGTTTAACAATAACAAATAAATGTAAACCTGAATAAGCATATACAAGCTTAGTACCACTTCTATAAAAATAACTGCCAATTCATTCCCATAGTTTGAATGATTATATAGAAATAAAACCCTAAAGTTACCATATCCTTAGTTGTATTAGACATGTCTCACTTTCCTAGTTTTCAACCTCCATGCCTAAGGGGCACAAGTGAACCAAAGACATGACTGGAGAAAGCACAGCGCGGAGACAAAATGGAAGGCATTGTGAAAGGAACTAACAGTTTATGGAACTGAGATTTTTAAATTGCCTAAGAATATAGAATGGTGGGAGTTAGGGTAAAACTTTTTTTTAGCTGAACTAGGAATTAAATAAGATATGATCTAATGGGCACAATATGTGAAGTTCTTTATGAAGTACCCTACAAAAGTATGGTTCTTCTGCAAGTCGTTGTACATGTTTTACAGCTAGAAGTTTTCATTTATTTATACAACATACTGAACTATGTGCCACAGTTCTGGGCATTTTATATAAAGTTGAGCAATAAACTGGTTCTTGTTCCTGAGGAGCTGCTATTCTAAGCTGCAAACTAATTACGTCACCCAAAGGGCTTGTTAGAAATGCACATTCTTCGGCCTCAGAGAGCAATTCCCCAATCCCCAGGTTCTGATTCAGCAACTCTAGGGTTGGTGCCCAGTAATCTGCCCTTTTGCAGGCAACTCCAAGTGACTTTTATACAAGAGGCCTCTGGACCACATGAGGGGAACACTGACCACCATCACCCAGTAAGTGGCAAAACTAGACTTCAAATCTTGATTCTCTTCCTATAATTAAAATAAAAGCCAGTCAGAAGGAAGGGCTTAAGTCTATTCTCTTTCACTAAAGCAAAAGCTAACAAGGAAAGGGCTATATAACAAGTGAAGAAAATAGCATATATGACTTAATCTATGAAATGTAAACCCAAGTTTTTTTTTTTTTCCTTTTGGCTGTGCCCATCAAAGTCAGGAAGGACAGGAGAGCAGTGGTTTTTAAACTCAGGATTTCAACACTGTCCTGTGTATGCTCTGTAACACTTTTCCATTCTCCGTGTGAGGTGGCACCTCCTCTCTAATACTCTACAGCTCCAGCTCTCCCGCTCATTCCATTCAATTTTAACTCCTTTTCACAATGTCTGAGGGTGGGCATAATTAAATACCCTACTTTGGTAGGATTATCCTACTAATATTGTAACCAGGTGTCCCTCCCCCTCAGCCCCCAGATTCCCTTCTCTCATTTTGATAATGTGATCACCCTGGGGACTAAAAGATTAAAACTTTATTATTCTTACCTAAGAGAAGTGAAGTGGAGGAAGTTAAAAAAGAACTTACACATAACCAAGAGGCGGTGAGGGAGTAGGAGACTTGTTTTGCTTTGTCTACTACTATGCTGTACATAACTGACAGGAAATAAGCCATGATCAGTACAGGGAGCTCTCCTGGCGTTATTTTTAATGTTCAAAGGGTGAAACACAAAACAAAACAAAGCCTGCCTGCAGCCAGATCCTCAGTGTAAGGACTCCAAGTAGAATTTTGCTTTGTTTTGTTGGGAGGGAGAGAGGATAAGGGTTCAAAAAACAAAGTCCAAGTAACTGTATAGTAAAACATTTACCTTTCTTAAAAACGGATATACATACATTTTACATTCCAAGTCCCTCAACTTCAGAAAAGGTGTTTATAATGACTGATAAAACCCATTTGATAAAGACCACCAAAGGCATAGCCATCCACGACAGTTAGGTTACTAACGGGCAGAGGCGGAGTTAAGACTAGACAAGATTTTGGAGAAGGATGGAACTCAGGTGAAGTTTAAAATGAAGCAGTCCTCTGATGGGCTCGAAGAAAAGCAGGGCTGTGTGTCATGAGGTTACATCACACTGGGCTGAGAAGCTGACTTAGGGTGCACAAGCTTAAGACAAATGTGCAATGTTTGCGTCCGAAAACCCCTCGTCTATGCACCAAAGCTGGAGATCGACGCGGCTCAGCATCTCCAGGCAACATTTCAAACAGCAAGGTCTTTCCTCACACTCCAGATGTGGGACAAGGTCTCCCTGCTACGACCCCCGGTTCAATTACAAGGGCACTTTTTCCAGGTTCCCACGGTCAAGCGCCAAGCAACCACCGACGCCTCCGAGAGTGGCCTCGGGGAGGCTACCCGCGATCTTCAGCCCCTCGCGGCCACCGCATCTCCGGTGCCCCGGTTCCCCCCCAAACCCGGCTTCTCGCCCCCACCCGGGCTCCCAGCCAGGCGCCGACACACGCGCAGCGCAAGCAGCACTGCACCGGTGCCGCGCCAAGGTCATTGAGCGACCCGGAAACACTCGGGCCGGGCCGGCGCCCCTCGGGCGGACGGATACAGTGACACCGAGTGTTCTTCGTATCGCCCCAGAACTCTGCCGAGGTCCCCCCAAAAGCCTGCTCTGCTCCCCGCTCTGAAGACCTGCCAAGGGAGGCAGCTGAGCGAGCAAGAGACCCGCACGTGTGCCTTACCTGAGGTACGTACTCGCCGGGCTGCGCATGCTCCAGGGCTGGCAGAGCCCCGCCCCCCCGGGTTGGGCCCGCCCTGCCCCGCCCTGCCCCGCCCCGCCCCGCCCCACACCGTAATCACCCGTTACTGTTCTCTTACTAAAAGTCTACCCTGACTGCAGGCTGCTTACATTGTTTTATTTAATCCTCCCAACAACTTTGTGTCATGATAGGTGCTATGAGTATCTCATTTTACAGAGGAGGTGAGAGTTTAACCCTGCCCACAATTAAACAGTTAGTAAGAGACAGAACTTGGATTTGAACCCAGGGCACTGACTGCAAAGCCTGTGCTCAATCATTTTTCTACACCCTTCAACCCAAAGTGGCATCAGCAACATTGGCATCACTTGGGAGCTTGTTAGAACTGCAGACGTACTGAGTCAATCTACATTTTAGCCAGATCCCTAAACAATTCGTTCGTAAATCAAAATTTGAGTCACTGCCTGTACTGCCTACTAAATAAGAGGAGGAAAAGCGGGGAATGAAAAGGGGAAAGGGGAGGAGGAGGAAAAAAGGAATATAAAGGTCTATGAAGGTTCCATGTGGTTGGGCTACACCCCACAGGCCTGCAAGCTTTGTAGTTGCCAGCCTGGAAACCGAAGAAACAGCCTGGAGACAGCAACAGAGACATCAATAGATTACGGACAGGAGATCTTACACATCTGAAGCGAGGTCCTGGAGCAGCACCCCACTGTGTGTGGCAGAGAGTGGACAGAACATGGCAGCAATCTTCGCTACTTTGGAAGGGAGGGGGTGAAGGAGGCTACCATTTACAGGTGGAATTGACATCAGGTTGGCCCATCAGGGAAACCAGCAGCTGGGGCCGGGCGCAAGCAAGTAGGCAGTTACTAATTAAGCCCTATAACTAAGAGGATTGGATAATCATGTGAGTGAAGCAGGGACTGGTCAAGCAGGGGAGGTAGAGAGCAAGAGAGCAGCCATCTTCAATGCTGACCGTACACATGTGCATGACAAAGCCTGAAATACTCAAAACAGTTAGACACAGATCTACCTTCACTGAAGTTATAGTCAAATGGGGGGTAAAATATATCCACAAATAACTAATGAAGAGTACACCGTGATTAGGGTCTTGTTCTGATTTGAGGGATCCATGAAGGTGTAATAGTTGGAGTGTTGTTAATGCCAGGTAAAGGAAATGCCCCTGAGGAGCTTTCTGTGACTGCCTCAATTTTCTTACTCAACCCCTGTGAGCAGATAGGGTAGGGGGTCCCTGGAGAAAGAGAAGCAGGCATGGCTTTCTTGACATGAGAGAAGCCATTTTTGGCCTAAGCCATTTTGTGATCCAAGCCTGGCCACAATGCTTGCCCTTGAACAGGTCTCAGTAATTAATAATCTTAAGGGAACAAAATGACTCTTATGGGGCAAGAGAAGGAACAATAGCAAGATAATAAGTCAGGTTGTAAAGACTCCCAGTTCTGTTTCAGTGGTAAAGGTTAGCCTGAAGCACATTCTTGAGCTGTTCTGCAGAATTCAAAACCCACTCAACCACCAGATCAACTGGAACCTAAAGAAGATGAGTTGACCTTTTCTGACACTTGTGACTTCAATCAGCTAAAGTTTGGATTCTCTCAGCCTGTGCCCCAATTCTATGCTGAATTCTCCTCTGTTCAAGCCCCTCCATGAATATGCACATACCACCCAAACCCCTTCATGAATATGCATGCACCCCCTTAGCTTAAAACTTCCCCAGTCTTGCTGTTCAGGGAGACACTGCTTTGGGAAAGGTCCCCGGTGTTCTCCTCACTGCAAGTAATAAGTCCTTCCTTCTCCCGATCTTCGGCTTGATTGTGTCTTTTGGTCTGACACCCACCAAGAGGAGACCCAGTTTGTGGTCAGCCCCACAGTCAGCTGATATGGTTCACTGGCACAACTGAACAATCATAAATGTGATAGATACATGTGAGAAATATGGGTGCGTAAGCTATATTCGTTTAAAGCATGTCATTATTAGTCAAAGTCACCCAGGGCTACACAGATCCAGAGCCCCAAACCATCCCTCCCGCTACTGGTACCCTCTTAACGTCTGGGCTTTGTACAATCTTTTGATCTATCTGCTCTATAGAAACTGTCTCTCACTTGAACCTCCATTTTATTAGCATTTTGTGTCTGACTTTCTCTCACGCTTTCCTAAGATCTCTTTTAGTACTAAGATGCTTTTTATTTTGTCTGTTATTGTTTTTGCTGTCGTAACCTATTTTTCTCAAAACTTTTCAGACCTCCACCCCGCAGGCGTTACCTACTCTGTTGAGGTTCGCTTTCCCCTCCAACCAGGACATGCACAATCTTTAGAGATTCATTCCCATTCAAAGACTCATCCACAATAAATACTTCTCATGTAAAAAGCAACCTCAGGCTTCCCTGGTGGCGCAGTGGTTGAGAGTCCGCCTGCCGATGCAGGCGATACGGGTTCGTGCCCCGGTTTGGGAAGATCCCACATGCCGCGGAGCGGCTGGGCCCGTGAGCCATGGCCGCTGAGCCTGCGCGTCCGGAGCCTGTGCTCCGCAACGGGAGAGGCCACAACAGTGAGAGGCCCGCGTACCGAAAAAAAAAAAAAAAAAAGCAACCTCTATGACTTCCAGCAACTTGTTTAATATAGAAATACATAGATATTGGTATACATCACTTAAGGCACTACTCAGTGCCTTGAGCTGCCAGGCCCTGCTATGTTGGTTTGAAATATTAGATCCTCAGTGTTAAAGGAGCCAGGATGACAAAACAAATTAGGAAGGTAACTGGAATGGTTCAGACTGAAAAAAGAAAGAAAATAAAAAAGCTTGATAACAAAGACTAAAATAATTGCACAGAAACTCAATCACTTCCACTGGGGAATGTATATAAACTAATTAATGGAGGTTGTTAATTGACAACTAGACTAAACTCTAGTGGAGACTCTTACCAAGCTGATTTCGATCACTGAATTGGAGTAGAAGGCAGAGGATGTTGGGGGAGGTGGGAGAGACTCTGGTGGCAGGTTTCCAAAGTGGCACTGATTCTCACAAGCGTCAAGTGGAGGGACTCACAAGTAGCAGGTATAAGGGCTGTGCCTCTACATAATCCGGGTGAGAAGGTAACTAACCTGCCCCAGCCCTAACCCCAGAATGCAAATACTCAAGCTCTCCCATTCAGAAGTCCCGGCCATCCTCCTCCAAGTCTCCAGCACCCATCCCAAAGGGTCCACATTCCCAGTGTGGTCCTGATTTGCTAACTCTAGCAGAGGGATGCAAGTGGCTACGAAAAAGCCCTCCTTGCTGCATCATGCCTGAGACACAGAAGCTGGCTAAAGTTCCAGTCTGCTGTAATGGTCACAAATGCAAGGGCAGCAGGGATCTCCACGTTAACAAGAATAAATTAGGAGTTTGGAATTAACATATACATATATATAAAACAGATAACCAACAAGGACCTACTGTATAGCACAGGTAACTATACTCAATATTTTGTAATAACCTATAAGGGAAAAGAATCTGAAAAAAAATAGATATATGTGTATGTATAACTGAATCACTTTGCTGCACACCTGAAACTAACACAACATTGTAAATAAACACTTCAATTAAAAACAAACAAAAAAATAAAAACCAAGTACCTAGGAAATTTTACTCTAGATAACCCATTGCTGCTGGTTGCTAAAGGGCACCTACTGGACAAGAGGGGCCCAGGAACTTGGGGTTGGCCTAGCCTTCCCTTCAGATGGCCCAGGACACAGAGCAGTGGAGAGCTGTGGCCTCTGGGGCACTGTCCCTGAAGCAGGGGCGGTGGGAGCAGGACCCCGGCTCTGCCGGCTGCTGGCCTCTGGAGTGGAGTGGTTCTCCATCACCCTCAGTCTAGGAGACCAAAGTGTTACCAGATAAACCGTTCTGGATCCTGAATGTTTCCAGCATCCACTTTTCATGGACTCCATTCCTGACTTCCTCATGGTCAACTTCTGATGAGGGGAGCCAGTTTTTAGTAAAGTCCCCAAATACAGAGGTTACACCCCTCTCCCTACATATTGGATTCCAATCCTGAACTGCACTGAGAAGTAGCACTTCTCTTGCTAAAGTAGAGGAAAAAATAACCCAAAACACAACTTAATTTGAAGGGGCACCCCACTACGTAGAGAGGAAGATGGCACAGGAAGGGCCAGTTTACCTGCCCCTAAAAACCAGCCTTGGGCCAATCGGCACACAGGAGCCCTCGGCTACATAAACCCTGCTTCACTAATCAGCCTTGATTTCAATCACCTTAGACTTTTTAAAGATCACCTGTGCTTGTGCTCTCTCTCCACACACAGGCCTCTCTCTCCCTCTCCTTCTCCCTCTGTGTAAAGGAGCTTTAAAGAAGCCTCCCATGGAACTTCCCTGGTGGTGCAGTGGTTAAGAATCCACCTGCCAATGGAGGGGACACGGGTTTCGAGCCCTGGTCCAGGAAGATCCCACATGCCGCGGAGCAACTGGGCCCGGGCGCCACATCTACTGAGCCTGCGCTCTAGAGCCCGTGCTCCATAAGAGAAGCCACCGCAATGAGAAGCCCGCACACCACAACGAAGACCCAACACAGCCAAAAATAAAATAAATAAATAAAATATAATATAATAAGCCTCCTAGGCTGCTGCCACCAGAGGCAAGAGCCAAGCCAGGGCAGCACCATCTGAGAGGTCCACCACCACTTACCTCAGGCCTGGGTGGATCCAGGAGCCAAACGGGAAGCTGGGATTTCGCAGAACATCAGGCCCACCTGCAGTCAAAGGCTCACTAGTGCAAATGCATGATACAATCTGGGTTATTATGCAATCATGCATGCCAGCCAATTAAGAGTCAAGTACTCAGAATTGTAAGGTTGACAGGTTGCTGTGAACCTAGGGAGACTAACAAGAATCAGAGATCACATTACCAATTCCAGACAGCCCCCAAATCCTCCTGTAATTACAGGCATTAGTGTCAGAACAGGATCCAGCCATGTTTTTTTTTTAACGTCACTGTTTGAATTAATGTCTTAAATTCTACCTTCCCCAGGGAAACAGACTCTTTACAATATAAGGGACAATCTCACTAAGCAGCTTGGCAGGGGTCCAGTCTTACACCTTTTCTTTTTTTGGGAGGGAGATTCTGAAATACACAACCTTCCTACCTACACTGAATAACATCCTATTACAATGTAATGTAATAAGACCTTCAAGGGAGAGTGCTGTATGGAAAGAGAAAAACAACAAGACACTCAAATATTTTAATTTTACAAACCTCAAAAATATAATCACAAATATAATGAAACCTAGATACCCATTCTTAACTAGGAAACCCCTTGGATCAGTTCTTTCCCTTCAGTAAAATGGAGATTAAAATTTCCTCTCCCACATCCACCACCTGCCTCACTAAGCCACTTTATGTTGACAGGTAAAATTTCCTCAATTCTATGATGCACGTGCTTCCGTATGTTTACATTTCTGAAATTGGAATGCATCTCACAATCGATGGATACATTTAATATAGTGTTTGTCCCAAATGCTGTTATTAATTAAAATGTTTTAGAATCCAGGGAATTTTATGACTTGTCATAAAAATCTGTCTCCTCAGAAGGTAAGGTTTTTTTTTTTTTTCAGTGAAAAGTCTCGTGGCCTTCCTTCTCACAGCAGGTAAAGAAGCACGAAGAATGCAGTAATACTGACAACTACACTGGGGGCTCTAAGAGGGATCTTGCTGTAATTATCTTTTGCTAGGTGACTCAGCTGCACTGCCTGCATTCCAACCCCAGCTCCTCAAATGGCTGACTCCGCCTCTGTAAAACTCCAATTAACCCCCTTGTAAAATGGTAACAATAGTAACACCGATTTCACAGGGCTGTTGTGAAGCTACATTAAGTCATCCATGTAATGTTACAGGCTTGGCAGGATGTCTGCTACATACAAGTGATCAATAATGTTGGGTATTATTTTAAATGATATATGAATGACTGTGGCAGCTAGGTAACTACACACAACTAGGAGTTAACTTTGTCAGTGTTAGCGTTACTTCAGAGAAAGGTAAATAGAGTTTTCAAAAAACTATGTTCGTAGCGTTAGTGAAAAAAAAATAGAGGAAGAGTAAGAAGAATGATGAGGAGAAGAGAATGGGAGAAAGAAGAAAAAAAGCTCAGTAGATGTTTATGGAAACCCGACTTAAGAAGAAGCCAAAGAGAGTACATTTTGACCCCGAAAGTGTACTAGATAGGATACAGGCTAAACTGCTGTTACAAGGAGACTGCAAAAATCCAGTGGCTGCAACAAGATAGATAATTGTATTCTTTCACACACAGTTCAGGAGGTTTGTTATACGTAGGGTGGGTGTTGGGAGGGTGACTCACCACTTCCTGTATCTACCATCCCCTGGAGTGCTGTTTTCCTCTGAATTAGCAAGTCTGTCCTCCAGGTATTGGAAAGGAGAGAGAGAAAAATTAGAGAACAATCAACTTCCTGTGTCAAGGTCCTGACCATGAGTTTGCACACATTACTTCCGCTCACTTCTCACTAGCCCCAGGGCCATACCAAGCGGCAAAGGAGGCGGGGATCTTAGTCCGATTCATCCAAAGGAAAAATAAGAGAGCACTGCTGGGGAAAAACTGTGTCACAGAGAGTGAGCTTCTCACTCCAGGGACCTTGAACCAGCAGGGCATGGACTGAGAGGACAGGAGACACCATTGCATTGTGTGCTCCCCTTGACAAAGCATCTCCCTTCTAGAAATCATAAAACTCTATTGTTAAATAGGTCAGGAAAGGCAGCTTTCTTTATCTCTATTTTACATATACATTTGAAGGTGTATTATGAACTCAAAATAACACAGCTAGTCATCATCAAAAAGTGTATAAATAACAAATGCTGAGGGCTTCCCTAGTGGTGCAGTGATTAAGAATCTGCCTGCCAATGCAGGGGACACGGGTTCAAGCCCTGGTCCGGGAAGATCCCACATGCCACAGAAGCAACTAAGCCTGTGCGCCACAACTACTTACCCTGTGCTCTAGAGCCCACGAGCCACAACTACTGAGCCCATGAGCCACAACTACTGAAGCTCACGTGCCTGAGCCCATGCTCTGCACCAACAGAAGCCACCGCAATGAGAAGCTCACGCACTGCAACAAAGAGTAGCCCCTGCTTGCCACAACTATAGAAAGCCCACACACAGCAATGAAAACCCCACACAGCCAAAAGTAAATGTATAAAAAATTTAAAAAAAAACAGAAAACAAATGCTGGAGAGGGTGTGGAGAAAAGGGAACCCTCCTATACTGTTGGTAGGAATGGTGCAGCCACTATGGAGAACAGTATGGAGGTTCCTTAAAAAACTAAACATAGGGTTGCCATATGATCCAGCAATTCCACTTCTGGGCATATGTCTGGAAAAGATGAAAACTTTAATTTGAAAAGATGCATGCACCTCAATGTTCATAGCAGCACTATTTACAATGCCAAGACATGGAAGCAAACTAAGTGTCTATCAGTAGGTGAATGGATAAAGAAGACGTGGTATATATACAATGGAATACTACTCAGACATAAAAGAGAATGAGATATTGCCATTTGCAGCCACATGGATGGACCTAAAGATTACCATACTGAGTGAAGTAAGACAGACAGACAAATATCATATGATATCACTTATATGTGGAATCTAAAAAAATGATACAAATGAACTTATTTACAAAACAGAGATTCACAGACATAAAAAAACAAATTTACGGTTACCAAAGGTAAAAGGAGGCAGAGAGGAATAAATTAGGAGTTTGGGATTAACAGATACACCCTACTATATATAAAATCGATAAACAGTTACTATATACAAAATAGATAAATGACAAGGACCCTGTATAGTACGGGGAACTATATTCAGTATCTTGTAATAACCTATAATGGAAAAGAATCCAAAAAAAAACTGAATCACTTTGCTGTATATCTGAAACTAACACAACATTGTAAATCAACTCTACTTCAATAAAACAAACAAACAAAAAAACCACAACTAGTAAGTGGTAGAGCCGAGATTCAAACTCGGGTCTGCAGACTTCTAAATCTATTGAGGCAGGAAATGACAGATCTGAGACTGGCACCTAGGATTGCCTCTTTTCCACCCCACTAAATTACCGAGCAATTCCATCACTTCCTTGTCACTACTGAAGGAGACCAGGTTTTGCCACCCCAAAACATGCCACTTTGGCATGAGGATTATTTTGAGCTGAAGGCAATTAAAAAACCCAGCAGATTTCAGGAAAAGCTCTTTACTTTCCCCCTCAATTACCTAAGTCTACATTGGAAATAAGGGCTGTACGGGAAGAGACATGTTACCAGGGATACATTTTTACCTAAAAAACTTATCTGCAAAACAGGGCAACCCTAGTTCTCTAAACATCTCCTCTACCTTGTGTGAGTGGCTTTCCTCCCCTTTGTATCCCCAAACCCCTAAACTCAGGATGTTATATAAGCTTCAATTACCTGATGGCCTTTTGAGTTTGCATATTATAATGGAACCCCCATTAAGTACAGAATTTTGGTTTTTATTTTCCTGTTGATCTATCTTATATCAATTTAATTATTAGACAATCCAAAAAACCTAGAAGGGAAGAAGGGAAAATTTTTCCACCCCTGCATCACACCATGGAGGATGTATGTTCAAAGCTATCAACCAAGGAGAGAGGTTTCATCCATAAATTGCTTTTTGCTAATAGGAAAATTTTATACATGATTCAATTAAATACCTATGTGTTAGATATTTAGTAGCTATTATTGTCTATTAAGAGATTCTACTCTTACTTTCCTTGGGAGGGTTGCCTATAATGGTAATATAATCAACCCTTGGGGTAATACTCCCTGATCCTCAGCCTGTTTTGCACCTGCAGTGTGCCTTTCGTCAGAGGTGGGTATGCAGAAAGCTGGGGGTGGGGGTGGATGAGAATTAAGTTATTTCTCTCTCATGCGAATGGGAGGAGCCCTTTATTCCACCTCCTGAAAAACCCCATTAAAAGCTACCACTGTCCCTGGATAATCAAAGAGCAGGTTCTTTAGCAGGGAGCCAGCATGACTGCTAATTCCAAATTTATTGACTACATTGATGAAGCTTTGGAAAAATCAGAAGAAACTGCACCGTCACACCAGTTTTTCACCTATCAGGGGACTCCTTACCGAATCATCATGTGCACCTCAGAGACTTTCCAAGCCTTGGAAGCCTTTGAAGCCAGAAGTGATGACATAGTGCTAGCATCTTATCCAAAGTGTGGTAACTAACAAATCCTTTTCACAAGGGCACTTTTTCATAGTGAGTAGGTGGGGAAAGTGCAAGGAGAAGGTGGGAGGAGGGCAGTTCATCTCTGCATGAAGCCATAAATTGGTGAGGAAGATGGCCAAGATGGGTCAGAGCAGAGCTTGTAAAATCCATGACTAGAACTGCTAGATTTAGAAACCCCATGTCTGAGGGAGGAGGTCTGTGGGTGAGGAGTATAGAAGGAGCTGCCTGGTGGGATTAGCAAACAAAAGCAGGGATGTGGGAAGTCCAGCTGCCATGGAGCACTGAGAGTAGTCAAGATTTTCATCTTGATTTTTGACTGAAGACAAGCATGCCCACGTCTGTAGACTACTATGCCCTCCATGTAATAGTTTATTTTTCAGGATCAAACACCAGTCTTCCAGTTTCTCAAACCAGTTTTACAATGGTCCTTCATCAGTGGAGGATAAGACGTTAAGAAACGAAATTACTCTATTTTACACAGACTACTTTTGATAGTTTTAAACTATTATTTCATCTCTGCTTATTAAAGCCAACTCCATTTCGTATTTTCTTTTTCTTAATTGATGCTGGGTTTTTATAAAAATCAAAATTGTATGCTCCTGTAGAAAATATTCATTAATTTAAGGTAAAATATATGACATACAATAAACAATCATTTCTATAGTATAACACTGTTCTGTAAGGAAAATAGTCTAGATTTAAAAAGAAGCACTGCCTCTTGTTAAAGGAGAAATTTGAGAAATAAGATAATTTGATACTTGCATTCTAAATTTTAGCTCTAATATGAAATAAAAAGTTGCACTTCCCGTTAAGGTAATTCCCAGCTTTAGTAAAAAGATCCAGATGATTTTGAAAACCAAGGAAGTCTTCTAGAACCACCTAAATTAGCATTAAAATGTTCTACAAGGTGAGTGAGACATGATTCTAGCTCCAGTGTCTCTGGAAAATGTTTTAACTCAGTGTAGTATTTTGGGTTTTGAAGTCTTTTGATACCTATAATTTACCAAAAATGTTTATTTTTCTCTTTGGGTATTGTTAAAAGTACTTTTTGCATTTTAATTGTTACTTCACCATACACAAAGATACTTTTCTATGCAATGTGCCTTTTATTTTAAAATGGAAACGAGTGAGAAGATAAGCTTCATTTAACAGTAATTCACTTTACAGAAAATTTTCCTAAACTATATATATTTTTTCTTAAGATATATCTATATCTTGTCTTTACATTGCTTACAGTTTGGCTATATCACATATGTTCATGAACATATCTACGTTTATCATACGTTTATCTAGTTTCATTACAATTAATCCATTTTCCCCCTGGATATTTTTCTAATCTTTTTAGGAACTCTAAGATTTTTCTCATGTCTTTAAGTGACTTTTTGCCATGCAGTTTAGTGGAAATGGCACTCTATCACTTAATCAGAAAATTATCAACTGTGTGATTTCTGCACAAAGCACTTAAAACCTCAAAGCCTCTTGTTACTCTCTAAAATGGGCATTACAATATCTACCTGAGAGGATTGTTGTGAATGAATGTAAAAGCACTTCCAAAACTGAAAAGTGTAATTTGAAATAAATCAAGTATTATTTCTTGATATGGGTCCATCACTTGGACCCATATCACTGATTTAAAAAACAAATTTTAAGTCATTCTTTGCCCTTTTGCTTGAGTTGGGATCTCTACTAACTTTTCACAGAACAATTGACTATAAATGTCTAAATATCATTTCATTGCTTGAAATAATGCGACCGAGCAGTGAAAGCCTCCTACAAGCATGGAACTAAACAAAGCCTTAGCTCTCCCCACACACATAACATATACTAAAGGTCTGATTTTATGATAAAAGCCATCACCCTGGCAGATTCAACAGGTAGCTTATTTTTTAAATTATCAGTAGAAGTAGATTACAAAAACGAATCAAACACAGAGTTCTTATACTGACAAGAATTTCTCTCATAAAATATTTCTCAGATATTTAAGTGACTCTGCATTTTCAGGTTCTGTTAGGATATTTAACTGCATGGAGTTTTGCTGGTTTAAAAAAAAGATATAGGGGTGCCTTCAACATGGTGGAGGAGTAAGACGTGGAGATCACCTTCCTCCCCACAAATACATCAAAACTACATCTACATGTGGAACAACTCCTACAGAACACCTACTGAACGCTGGCAGAAGACCTCAGACTTCCCAAAAGGCAAGAAACTCCCCATGTACCTGGGTAGGGCAAAAGAAAAACAGAGACAAAAGAATAGGGACAGG